TATTTCGCAGCAATGCTTTCTATCATAATATCTGCTACATTTTCTTCAACGAGTTCATAAAGCGCAATAGCATGTTTGAGTTGTAAATCAGTTTTCAACACTTTTTCTAATATTTTATTTTCTGTGAGGACGGAGAGTTTTACCCATTGCTGAATATAACTCTTGAGAGTCATATCAGCATCAATATCTGTAGTTCTCTTAATGAAACATAAAAGTAATTCTAATGCTGATAAAAGTTCTGATTCATTGTCTGAAAATGTCACCTCAGCGTTTCTAGTTATAAATTCAGAATGTTGATTTTGAGAAACTCCACTAGTGAGTAATAATACCTTATCTTGTGGTATTGGTTCTTGTTTGATTTTTTGTTTAATATCATATAATATAGTTGTAGAACCTTGAAACATCTCCATGCAATAAGAGAACGGTTCTAGCAAGAGTCCACCTGACTCAATGCGCTCTAAATAGGTCTTATTAAGAACCAAATTTTGCACAAGTTCTGCTTCTATTTTAGAAAGGTCATAGGAGATCTCTTGTCCTTTACCAACAGCAAGATTGTATTGACTATATTCTAAAATTTTCGGATTCCAATCATAATTGATAAAATTTACTTGTCGTGCATCTTCGAGTCGTACGGATTTGATATGATATTGGATATTTACACCTGATTCAAGCTCTGTGTGTTGCTCAATAAATTTTAATGGAAGGCACGTTCCAGGTTGAATATTCACAACATCACGTAGGAATTTGTTTTGAAGGTCGGTTAGATATTCCAGAGCTGCACATAAAAATAGGCCCACATCCTTGCCTTCCATAAGGCCAAGGACAACTTGACAATCCAAATTCATTTTAGGTTTATTGGTAGGTAAATCATGGCATTGATATCTTTTGATAAGTGGCATTATAGCATTCCATGACTTTGCAAAATTATCAAATGCAACTTTAAGAGAATGCTGAAGTTCCTCACGTTTATAGATGAACTCTCGGAATGTCATATGCAAAGCTTCATTCCGTTTAATTCGATAGTTAAGGCACATAGAAAGTATACGTACAAATTTTACTAAATTATGCAGATGTTTCAGATGTGGTAAGAACTCTTCATATTTGAAGAAGACTGAAATGAATGGAAAATTCTTTTGATATATTTCGTTATTTTCATAATATGCACGAAAATCATTAAAGCTCGTATTCCCAATATGTCTCCATAGTCTAGGTAATCGCGTTACTTTATAATTATTGTCAAATGTCATCAAAGTTTCATTTATTTCTGCCTCGAGATCACTAGTTTTTTTCTTTCTATCATCTTTAGCTTTCTGAAGGTTTTTACGCAACATCATTACAGAATCTGTAGGATTCTTAGCTCTGTTGGTTACGTACTTTGTGGTGAATTGACGTTCCCACTTTGTTCGCGCATCTGGTGTTGTTAATACAGAAGATTGAAATTGACCATCACGCGTGATTGAATGAAGTATATCATGCAATATTAAGGCTAAATCTTCATCATTACAGTTTAAAAGGCTTTTTAAAGTGTCCCAGTCTTTAGTTATATGATCCAAACAATGTGCAATAGGGTCAGAAAGATTATTTAGGAATTCACGTGAATGCGCAGAGAAGGCAATAAGAGTGTGAACAAAAAGATGCAAGATTCGATATGAAGATGCAGTCATTTCGCGAACACTTTTCCCCCGTTCTAATGATCCTGTTTCCATTATGTAACCGGTTTTATCTCTATTAGCGATGGCATTTCGAATCTGGTTAGAATTTAACCTTGTTTGCCCTGATGCTGCTCTGTGATTTTGCCCACCAATTCTTCTACCACATTTTCTTGGACATTGTCGATCCTGCATGGTTTGACCACATTCAGTAACGACATATTTATATCCACATGCACACTCGTACCTAAAAACATTATGTCAAGAAGTGTAAATGTCAGTACTAATATCGCAAAGATATTTGTACTGTAATAAAATATTAACTTACCATGAAAATCCTCCATTAAGTGCACCCATTAATATTGCTTCTTCATCAGATGGACAAGTTAGTATGTATGTATTTCTTTGCAATTTGTGAAGATATAGCGTCAATGGTGAATGATTATCCGGAAGGGATGCATGAATTGCAAGTATGTGAATTATTACTAAACGAATTAACAAATTTTTATTATCAACTCTTGGGTTAATCTGTAAAATAGGGTTTTCATTATCTAAAAGTCCAATTATAAGTTGTTTGTAGACCAGCGATAAACTAATATTGTACAAAGCTGTTCGTAAATTAGCAGTTATTTTCTTTTCATTTTCATTCAATTTGCGTGTTGCATTAATTACAAATAATCGTGCTACAATAACTCCGATAAAAGAAATGCGCGAATTAAGTTTGTTATATGATTCAAGATTCTCTAAAAAGTCATTTAATTGGGTTCCACTCAATGCATCCTCTGCTTCATCATATTCCCTAAACAAAAAGTAGGGATTAAAAGGTAATCGGGAGTCATCATCTTTATTCCATGGTAAATCAGAAAGCCATGGTAAAGTCTCTTGCTGAAGATTGAAGAATTGTCTAAGATCACTCATCGTGAGACCCCGAGCTCGTAAATCCTTAAGAAAATAAAACTTGAGAGATTGGATTAATGGGTGTGGATTCTGCATAAAGCTATTTAGGGTGGCAATAAACCTATGTGAATCCATAAAATTAAATTGGATTGGCTCAGTTAAAGCTTTTTCCAAGGCAATTGATGACCATAAGTCTTTTACAAATTGCTTTAATAGAGCGATAGCACAAATAAGTTGTAACGGTCTAACATTAGTGGCACG